TTAGTGCAAAGTGAAGTGTGTAAAATATATTCTCGATTCGTGTCGAAAGGTGTGATTGCTTCACTAAGTTTGTTACTAATATTTCACATATGCTGGCGGTCGTTTATTGGTACGAACCCAACTTCGTGCATGAATAACCAAAAACAATGCAGTCGGAACGTATGGAAAAACCTTGGACGAAAAATTCCCGTTAAGCTCAAAGTACTAGCCGCAGTTTTGCTGCAAGAGTAAGCTTTTTCACGGCCGAAATCTTGGCACCATTTAGAAAAGCAAAGTCTGAGGCTTCCTAAAAAGCAAAAGTCGATCAAGCATTTTTTTTTTTCGTAAACAACTTTACAGTTTTTATTTTTATGGTTGTTTTATGGATGAAAAGTGACACTTGGGAACGTTCCATGCAGTTTGTCGCAAAATCCGTTTTCTTTTTGCATTGAGGCCCCTTACATGCCATAGGCGCTGACGCGCTCAAAGGTTGTTCGTTTAGATACGCTCGACGATTGCTACCGAAAATCGTGCACTGCCGAATTCGCTGCTGCCACCGAAGCGCTTTAAAGGATAGTCTAGATTAGTGATAGGGAGCGACTCAAACCACGGAGACCGCTTGCAATGTATAATGTCAGACACATGCCGCGCAGTTCGGTTGCACACGCGAATGCGCGCATTGCCATGTGGCGATGAGGATAACAAGTGGAGAGACTGGCGCGGAGCTTAGAGACACCCAATGCTTTCGTCAACTCCCCACATCCTGTGCAGTGAGGTTCATAAACCGCGTGACAAAGATCGAGCACCTGAAATGACTCATAAATGTTGTCACACTACAGCGCTTCTACAGCGGAAGCGAGTTTATTAGCGACGGCAAACGCAGAAGTGACCCGTTTAACGAAGCACCGTTGGAGCCCGCACAGCGCTGTCTGACACACTTCCCAATCGGAGCGCTCTGCGAAAGGAGACTGCGACAACGACCGGTCCAATGAAATTTTGCACGGTAAGAAAATGAGCCGCACAAGAAACTGTTGTTACTGATATATTTTGGAAAGACAGAGCGTGGCGAGTTCCGAGCATAAAAGTTTTACCTTTTCAATGTCGATACTGTGCAGAGACATGCATCATCTTCAGCCAACTCGACATAAAGTTTCATCGCGCTGCGCTGATGAGCCGTTTTGTGCGATCCCTTCAAATGGCCAAGGATACACTTTACTTACGCGGTAGGAGTGAGATTCGTATGCAATTACTGCTTTTGGTTTTGGTTACTTTAATCTTGGGCTTATTGGCGATTTTCGGCACGTGTTTTCCAACCTGCTCTCATGGCTTCGTCCGTGGACCGTTAGTCGTTGTGGATATCTGATTCGCACGAGAAAGCTAGCGATCAAACCTGCCGCCATAGCTTTCCGGTTTAGCCGCTAGGGGCCGTCGATTTCGCTGGAATATTCGATATCATGAGCCTACCCAAGCTCGGCTGCCTTACAACGTCAAAAATAAATTGGGAGTTTGTGCCCAAACATGTAAAAGTATACAAGCACGCTGTCTGTAAAAGTATACAAGCACACAACCTAGCGTACGAAGAGGCAGAGGAAGAGGGAGGGGGGGGGGGGGGGAGGCTGAAGGGATGCTTTTAGTTTTTTTTCTTTTGCCCGATTTCTTAAAAAAGGCTACGTGTGAACAGACTTGTACACGTTACTGAAAAATAGTAAGGAATTACAATTACAATTACTCAAGGCTAAATTGTAATTTATTACAATTACAATTACCCTCCCATAAAAGTAACTGACCGTTACTCCAAAAAGTAATCCGTTACTTTCGTGGCGTTACTTTTAACATGATTTTAGGAAATACTCAAGTAGGAAATAAAGGCAAGAGGGTCATTCAAGTTCTTATTGTTGCAACCTGTTCCATTTAATGAGCTTGAGTATTTTGAGCAACAGCTGGCTCTCGAAAGTCTCGTCAGACATTTTGCGTTATTTCTTACTCAATATGTCGACTGCTACGCTGAACACCGTTTGAACTGAGGCGCTGGATGGGAGTGCCACATTGTTCCTCACGAATGCTTCATGCTCTGCATTGAGCTTCTTCACCGAAGCAATGGAAATACCATTTACCTCGAATGTAAAGCAAATCTTCGTAGTTGCAGCCGTTGCCTGCTATTCGAGAGACTTAGTAGATCGTTCCGATACCTCCGATACCCGCGATAACGGTACCCGATAACGATATGATGCATGCGCAAAGACGGCGGCGAAGTATCGGATGTCGTTGTCGGAGCCATCAGACCGATCTACTAAACTTCTCCATTGTCTAAATCGCGAAGCTGCGGAAGTCATCATACATTTTTCCAAGAGTAGAATAAGAATTGATATGTGTCCATCTTACTATACCGACATTTATTGACAGACATTTCAAAACATAGTTCTAACAGTAAGGTGATAATTAAATAATAAATAAGGTTTGGCTCGATATTCTTGTTCCTTTGGGTCTGAACAGTTCAAGCCTCGGTTGAGACGTTGGTGAATAAAAAAAAGTTTCCAGTATACAAATATAAGTAATAAAAGAAAAATAAGGACACTCATATCAACAATTAATTAGAACTTCGGTTAAAACAAGGAAATGTAAACGCACGTTTGCCGTGTGTACCTTTCTTGGTGCCGTTCAAAAACGCACGGCGCACGAACCGACTGCAGTTTTTTCCAGTGTTCTCCAGATAGACGTCCGCTGATGCCGCGGGCAGCGAAGGGCAAAGTACTAAGTAAGCCGCGCTGTGGCCCCATTCACGAGTTTCAGTCTCTCCCCAAGCCCAGAATATCAAGTCTACGTCAGCCACCATCATGTTTTATTTGTGAAAATATCTGCTTGAGATAAGGTGCGTCCTGCTGGTGCAAAACAGGAAGAAAAAAGGAAGACTATTACCATTTTCCAAGTGCTCGCAAAAAGCTGACTCACAAAAAGAGTGACTGAGATGCAGACAACCTGGCTAGAATTCACAAATAAAGTGGTCCAACCACCTGTCTGTTTTTTCTGTTCTTCTGCTCTTCAAAAAAAAACCCAAGTCTCAGGGTAAACGACGAAATGGTTAACCATAGAAGTTGGACTGCACAAAAGTAAGTAGCTTTTAAAACAGGGTCTAATAATGTGAAAGATGCAGAAAAAGAAATCCTGTTTTCTAAGAGAAGATGATTGATAAGTGTGCAGCAACGAACGAGGGTGTTTGTGGCAATAACACCTTCACATATTATAACATCTTTTTTAGTGGATTTTAGGGTAGGTTGAGCGTTGTCTCGTGTTGTGACATTATGAAAATGGTCGTAGTCACTATAACCGAGAAGGACATTGTTAATTATTTTCTGTGGACTTACTGCCTCGAGGTTCTCGAAGAGGCACACAATCACTTGGTGTCCTTCTCTCCCTGTCTTCGATTGCAAACAAAAAACAAAGGGACTAAAAAAAGCGGATATAACTTGCCCTTCCCCCCTTTTTTTTTTGTAGAAATGTTTTTTTTTTTTTTAACATTGTTGTTAGGGTCTAAAAAAAACAAAAAAAACAACAACAGGGGCTTGTTGTTGCAAAAACAGGCTTTGCGGAACTGAAGAGTGCCAAGCCTCCCTTTGGGCGCTGGTCAATTCGTGCGACAGTGTCACTGCGCTGGACTCTACCAAAAAAAAAAAAAAAACTAATTTAGAAAGGGGGGAAAGGGGGGGGGGGGCGGTTCTGAAAAAAAAAAAAAGTAACGGATTACAAGAAATCCGTTACGTAAAAAATGTAAGGGAATTACTTTAAAATTACTCTAGAAAATATGTAATTATTCCGTTACTAAATTACTCATAAAAGTAAGGGATTACAAGTAATTTCGTTATTTGTAACGGATTACGTACAAGTCTGCGTGTGAAGACGTGTTTTGTACATAATGTTGACAAGATTTAGATCTGCTTGTCACAGTCTATTGCTTCGTTAAATTTAAGTACAAGCTTTTTGAAAATGCAGTTTTAGCCTACTGTTGCGTTTCAATATATTTTGTAATAACCCCCCCCCCCCCCCCCGCCCCCTCATGCCCTTGAATCGGTTTTTGGGGTATGGTGAATAAAAAAATAAATAGCTACCGCCAGTTCTAAAGGATAACAGCCGTTAGCATCCACCACCCATGAATCTGTGACACCAAATCAAAATTTTAACTCAGTCTAGCGTCTCCTACACGCTGTAACGTTTGCGAGTGAATGCACTGTGCATGGCAGAATCTTTAAAAAATTCTAACCTAAATGCGAGAATCATAAAATACTTCATATGTCAGGAGTCTCAGCATTCCGGTTCCTTTATGCAGGCATCAAAACCATAATGTGGTAAATGCATACTGAGGCAGGATCGATATTAAAAAAATCGGTATTCAATGGGTACATGTTTTTTTTCTTTTTTTTATTCACTTGAGTTACCTTAACAGCCTCCGGATAAAAAAAAAATTATTTTAGCCTTTTCACTTTAGTGAAGAAGGAAGAACAGCGAAGCTGTACTTCCTTCTTCACCGCAACTCCTTCTTCCACCCGCAAATCGGCAAGATACAGAGTGGAAAGGCTGGAAAGATTTCCGCCATCTTTAAAAGACGGCGGCAACCAGACAACCGGCAAGCCGGTTGTCTGGTTGCCGATGTCGCTCACAGATGGCGGTAGCTGTCCAGAGTTTTGTGCCAAGATTTGTTTGCCCGTGGATACGATACTGGGGAAACTAGCCCTTAACAGCTCTGCTGTAAAAAACATATAGAAAAAAAAAAGAAAAAAAATTAGGCTGACTTCGAAATGACAATGTGCAATATGAATAGTGTACTTTAAAAACTCGGCAAAATACTTCACAGCATACTTAAATTTTAGACCAAATTTTCAAAAAAATCGCGGTGTGCTTTATTTGATAATTTTACCATAGCCAAGGTCTACCATTCCGTACAGGTCACAAAGGAAGCATGGGAATTTACGTACTTAAATACTCTGCCATGTAATCGAAGCTGTAATGACAATTTAAATTTTGCGCAGGTCTGCGGAGTACTGAAGGTAATGGCGCTCATCTGGATAGTATTCCTTGCCGTGGCCGGGCATAGTCAAGCGGACACAATCGTGCGACAAACTCGACTTGGCATGGTCAAGGGAATACTTATAGAGGCGTACGGAGGACTGGTCGAAGTTTACAAAAAAATACCCTTCGCCGAACCGCCACTCGGAAACCTGCGGTTCAAGGAGCCCGTACCGCGGTCACCCTGGGAAGGGACATACGACACCACAAATGGAACCAGCGTCTGCCACCAAGTGTTGCGAGCGACCTTTTTTAAAAGCGCAGAAAACTTCACCGAAGACTGCTTGCATCTCGGCATTTGGACGCCCTCGGAAGCGGCGAACAGCCCCGTTATAGTCTGGATTCACGGAGGAGGTTTCGCGCGCGGAAGCGGCTTTGGAGAGACGAGTGATGGTCTAGTGCTCGCTGCAACCAGAGGACTAGTCTTTGTTGCTATCAATTATCGCCTGGGAATTCTGGGGTTTTTGAACGCCAACTCGCCACACGCTCCAGGAAACCAGGGACTGCTCGATCAACATCTGGCGTTACAGTGGGTGCAAGACAACATCCGCTTCTTCGGAGGAGACCCTGAATCCGTTACGATCATCGGCAATAGCGCAGGAGCCATGAGCGTTCATGCTCACATCTTATCCCCCATGAGTAGAGGTCTATTCAAAAGAGCGGTGATGCTGAGCGGATCGCACAACAACATCGACTTCATGGAGAGCGTTCACGAAAGTACCATTAAGGGAAACGACGTGGCTAAGTTGCTAGGGTGTTCTCAATACGGCAGGGATCTTGTCTCTCATCCCGACGAGGTTATCGAGTGTTTAAGGTCGAAGACCGCCGACGAACTCGCCCTTGCCGTATCCGAAGTCACTGCGCCCAAATCATTTTCGTTTTTCCCAACGTTTCACGACCAATTCTTACCCAGGGTTCCAGCAGTAGCCATAGATCGTGGTTTCTTCCAAGACATTGACGTCCTTGTGGGTGTCACTTCGGATGAATGTTCGGTGTTTGTTGTCATTCCACCGGAATCAGTCCTCTTCAGAGAGTCAATGGACGGTATCGACGAAAACACCCTGGAACGTGCGTTACGGGAAAAGGTTTCGTTGTGGACACGTTTTGATATACAAGTTATGACAGAAGAGTACTTGTCCAAAGTTCCTGCTGGAGACAAGCTGGCGCTGACGAAAGCTTATTTGAACAGTGTTTCGGACAGGCTATTTAACTGCCCGGTACAGTTCTTTGCCGAGAAGCATGCGGCAAGAGGAAACGCGGTCTATTCTTTCATATATTCGCACAGATCGAAGAAAGATGGCTTCCCCTCATGGATGGGCGTACCTCATCACACGATGACTCCTTATTTATTCTCTCAGCCCTGGAAAGCTAAGAAAAACTTCACAGAAGAAGACAGGACGGTCAGCGACAACTTTGTGACGATGATTGAGTCCTTCGTCAGAAACGGGTAAGTAACTTGCATTCATGCAGTCCAGTAACATTTTACAAGGGGTGATTAACAGTATTCGGCTGTTTTTAGCTAACCCGTACTAAGAAAGATTCACTCATTTACGAACACTAGAGCTGAAGTTGAAAAGGGTCACTTTATTATAGATCTGATTTTATATTAAAACAAAAAAGTGAATTAGAAATGTGCTTAAATCATATTTTTCACTAAAACCTTTACTGTGATACATTCTAATTGCATGCGCTAATTTGATTTTGTCGCAGAAAACCTGTGTTGCCAAACGGTCGTGCCTGGCCAAAGTTCACCAAAGAAACGCCCATATCGATCATGTTTGAGTACAACAATTTCACCAGCGTTCGTGGCTATCGAAACGACGAGTGTGAAATTTGGAGAAAAGTTCTCTAAGCTTGGGGTTAGACTGAAAAAAAAAAGAAAAAAAAAAAGCTTCTGCTCACCGATTTTAACGGCAGTGACATCCCGGGCAGTTTGCATATGGAAGTAAAGAGCAAGCGTTATGTTGGGCCAAGGGTATTTACTTCCTGACCCCCTTTCAAGTTCGAGGATATTGCTCTTTGAGAACACTCGGAACGGTTGGTGATTCTCACATTCAACATTTTTATTGTTACTGGGAGACGGTTTCGAAATGAAAGTTCTCTTCCATGTATTGCTTATGCGTAATACTGAAGTGTGCTATTCTACTCTAGCGTTATGAGGAACCGCTTTGTACTCCGGGGCAAAATGTGTTTGCAAGGTAGTGATCCAGGCAAGTAAGATAACTGCAACGTCTTCTGCGGAAAGTTTTCGAATATGTTTGAATCGCATCTATAGTTGGGGAAGTTGGTTATATTACACCCATGGCCAGTGGCGTAATCTTTCCATTTTCCAAGGGAGGGGGGGCAGGCTGAGAAGTTCTCCGGGGGGGGGGGGGGGGGGGGGGTGCTGAGCGTTACCTTTTCGCCAGAACTGGACATTGAAGCTAACAAAAGCATGCTGGAATTCTATTTCCCATGTATTTTGTCAATAAAGGCAACGTGCGTGTTATTTTGTTTACATGCTGCGACTAGAAGCTCGTTACATGGCACGTAAACAGCGTCTCGGTAAGGATCATGGCCCGGGCCCGGGGGGGGGGGGGGGGGGGGAGGACGCGAGCCTCGATGCCCCCCCCCCCCCCCCCCCCCCCCCAAGTCTACGCGGCCTATGCCCATGGCAAAACTAAGTTCCCATTCTGGTGGCCCCACCATCAGCTTAGCAAGTTGCATTCTAATGGCATTTAAAATATTGTAGCGAGTTTTACTATTGCGTATACGAGCAAATGCAAGCACTGTGCGTTAGTTTTAGCATTGCGTGTCCCACACCAAACTGCGCCTTAGTCTGACGCGGGGTGACGTCGCGCGTGCGCAGTATGGAGCACGCGGCGCTAACGAAAACACACGGCGCTTGCGTTCGCTCCCATACGCAATACTAAACTCTCCTGTGTCTATCGGACCCACAGTCACCATCGTACGTCAACGGCAGAGAGGCATGTGGGGTTTTCGGCGTACCGCTTTTTCTTTATTCTTGGCACTTTATACAATACACAATATTTTTTTTCCTCTGTACTCGACGGAAGGGGAAGCCGGCAAGAAAAGTCGCCAACCAGCTTTACGGGTACCCTACAATAACACACAAACAGTAGCTTGAGAGAAAATGAAAATCCTTTGGGTCCACACACTACAGTTCGAGCTTCAAAGGTGATAAGCCGCCCTGTGCAAGGCGCTTACCTGAGTAAAACTTGATCAAATTCACCACGTCAAGGGACTTGTTTGCGAAGCGTGTGTCAACTCAATTATTAATCGTGAGCCCCAAGTGAACATTGACCGAGCTATTGTATCCTGTTCGTACGTCGCATTGCACCACTCTCAAGAGTGCCCAGGCTTCGATACCTGTCTTGAATTTCTTGCCTTGCAAGCCACCAGGGGCGCTGAACTTCTGAAACACATAGTTGGGGCTTACGTTCACGGAGCGGGGCGTTTGGATTTTTGCAGCGACAACGTCGCGCTTTAGTCACCGAAGCATTATCGGCACGCTACATTTATAATCTCCAACACGTGGTTTGAAACGAGTCCTGTGCCCTATAGTAGTAGGCCTCCATTAGGCATTCTACAGATGCTACCCACTGTAACGATGATAGTTGTCAAAGTGGACTGGTTGAATTTCGGATAACGTCTTTTGAGGTAGCATGAAGCGCGTCTCACATTTGGTGAATCCGTTTCAACATAAACGGGTTCGTATAAAAATTAAATTCTGCATTTAATGCGAGCACATTGATTGTGAGATATGGAAAGGAAAGGGGACGAGGATCAGTGAACTGGAAGCTATGGTTGTGCCGGCGGATCGCATCGAGGTATATTTTTGAATGGCAACTTCGCAGAAGCTGTGTAGCTTATACATGGGTATTTGTAACACCAATTATAAATAAAAAAGTATTTTTGGCAATGCTTCGTGGTTTCTATCTACGTGCATTTATTAGATCTGTCTCGAGTTCAAAATGAACTGTTGTAGGTTTTCATCGATGACATACAATTACGGCTTCTGGTGTTGCAAGAATTGCCAGCGGGCAGTAGAATTTTTGTTATTTATTTATGTACATTAATTTAATTCAAGAAATTGAACTAGCCTAACCATGTAACGTGTACAAAGCATATTTGACATGTTTGCTTTTAATAAATTTGTAATGTAATGGCTAATGAAGTGTACCTTCTTTATATTCCAGCTAGAGTTGCGAACGTCATACGACACTGGGTCAACCACACTTAAACGGGCTTCGCATCTTGCCGAACAAGCCAACATTCCAATCATCATCAGGAATAGCTCGTTATTATCAGAAACAAAACTTGCAGAGCGACTCGAGAGTTAATTAGATTCTGTAAAGTTTGTTTTAAACTAATACTGCAGGACGTGACTGATTTCTGATTCTCCTCCCGACATACTGGCGGACGTTTCTTTCTCCGAAGCCAACGTCACGTAAAAATAAGCAAACGTGATTGTAGTCGGAAGTCGCAGCTTCAACACGAATCTAAACCGCACATGTAGCCGTAAAACTGAGCTTTTTCAGGCCGGGAAATCTGGCACACGTATGAAAAGCGACGTCTTAGGCTTGCGGGACGTTACTTTTTAGCCCCAACAATGATAAAAGAGGATCAAGTGTTTTCCGTAAACAACAAAACGAAATGAGAGCTTGTAACTATATAGTTGGATAGTGTACAGCTGCAACGGAAAAAGAGTAGCACAAGTGACCGATGACCGGAGCGGCAAAATCGCGACACGCGGCGCTATTGTCTCCGAGCGCGCCGATAGCGAGAGTGCCAGTCATGTTGCATGTTTCAGTGCGGGGGTGGCCGGCAGTAAGTTGAGGGGTAAGATAGCGTTTAAAATGGGGGCTTTGGGATGGGCTGCTTTCTGCCGGCCGCCCCCGCGTTCAGACATGGAGCGTGACTGGCACTCTCGTTATCGGCGAGCTCGGGAACAATAGCGCCGCATGTCGCGATTTTGCCGCTCCGGTCGTCGGCCACTTGTGCTACTCTTTTTCCGTTGCAGCTGTACGTAGTGTACAAATCGAAAACGCCCTAACTTGAAAACAAAATATACTTTTTTTGTTTTTCGTAGCGTCGTATGTGTCGTATGACGCGAGAGTCAAGGGCACCTTGATGGTTTGTACGGTTGTATTCACTCGATGATAGCTCGGGATCGTCGCGCGCTCTACAAAAGAAGCTGCTGTCATACGACCACTTCTGCAGCGGAAGTGAGTTTATTATCGGCGGCAAACATAAAGCCAACCAGTTGTACGAAGCATCTTTTTGAGCCCTCACAACAGTGTCTGGCAATCGACTTTTTTTTTTGTTGTTGTTTTTTGTTGTTTGCTGTTGATTGGACAACGACCCTCCCAGTCAAGGTCTGCACGGTAGGAGCTGTCGCAGCAGGCACCAGCCAGGCGGCGCGAGCAGAGTGAGATCCCAAGGTTATACTTTGTCTCGTTGTAACTTGGCAAAGGTTGAACGATAAGCCTCACATTGCGTGCCGACGGCTTTGACATGCTCTACGTATACGAGCGCAACGCACACATATTGGAGCATGAAGCAGCGAAAAGCCTGATACTTCTTTGCATTAAAAGAGCACTCCGGTGATACGTAGTCACGTTCCAATTGGCCCGCCAGGGCCGTAGCTTCCTGGGTATACTGGCATATTTTATGCGATTACGGCTTCCCGGCCCTACCCAGTATTTCTCACTTCAGATATTTGGCTAAGCGGCGCCACCATGGAGTACTAGCTCACGTTTGAACAATGCAGCCGCCACTCCCAGGCATACCCAATGTTTCTCGCTTCAGTCGCTAGATAGCGCCAAACCAAACAGCATTGTAGGTGGACTACAATTTTCGTCTCATGAGCGACGCCATCTTCGTCTGATGGACGGTGGAACGCGTTGTGAGCATGCGCAGTGGCTCTCTCTCCCGTGGAATATTAAAAGCCGCGCATGCATTCCCCAACCCGGTCAGTTAGTAATTTTCGCGTGGGTAAGAAGGGCTGGAAAGTGTACGGAATTACCCATTTTAATGCACGTTGAAAGCGACGTCTCGCGGGTGTGTGGTGCCAACCTTAGGAAGCCACCTTCTCACTTCCGACACCAACCGACGTCGCGATGTCACGGGGACAATCAAGCGGCGCTAAAGGTATGTCGTCACGGCGCTCATATCGCCCTTGTGCGTTTGCTATATCACCGACCAAACCAATCACTCCGCGATCCCGCGCTTTTTCCTGCGCGCGATTCATTTAGCCGGTGATCGCCGGCCCGCAGAGACAAGGAGTGTCGTGACGACGCCCTTTTGGTGCCGGTTGATTGACTACATCGAATGTCCGACTCAATGTGAAACAAAGTATGGAACAATTCAGGGCGTCTAAGCTCGTCAAACACAAAGTTGGGGCCGAAGTTCAAGGAGCGCACCAACTGGCCTATCACGACGATGACTTCACGCTTTTTTCGTCAAACGTCCAATCCGCGCACTCCGCGAACTTTCGGCACCAACTTTGTTTGACGAGTTTAGGATTCCAGATCACTTACTGACAGAGGCACCTGCTTAGTATAACTGGCTCCAACTCGTATATTTAGTCGCCGTGCTAGATGCGCTGGCAGCGCCGCCGTCACTGACGCCGCGCCAACATCCGGAAACTATATAGACAGCGGAGCGGAGAAGACGGCATAACCGTGCCAGGCTGCATTTTTTTTTTCGCACACTGCTTAAATTTAGGAAGCTGAGCGGAGTAGAAGAATAACAAGACACAAAAGAAAATCTCTGTGTAACCTCAAAACGGATTTTGCATCGCTAACTAACCGACGGGCTGACGCAGCTAACCAACCAACTTCCGTCCTT